GAAGAAGGAATGGTGAGGACCAGGGAGGAAGATTTCCCTCCTTCACTAAGCATCTGATTATTCAGTTTACAAACACAGCTTTGGGGGGAACATCATGCAGGCTGGGAAGCCCCAAATGTGTCTGTCTTTCTGACTAATACTAAAAATGGCATTTGGGGTACATTATCTCCAGGAATATTACTGTGTCAGATTTCTTTGGAACTGCTTTAAATGATGGACGAAAATCAGAAGAAATTAGCACATTTTATTGCACATCAACAAGCTAAGAACAATGTTTTAGTCATTGTACTTGCAGGCAATGTTGCAAAAGAAAAACATCAAGCAAGGAAATGCATTTACAGACCCTCATTATCAGCAGGGCTCCTCCTTAGCTGATCTGGGGCTTTACTTACCTTGCAGAGACCAAGATCAATCTCTCATATCTCCTAAGATTTCCGGGGCCACTTAGAGCCCAGAGAATATTTTATGCCTGTCTTCCCCTGTTAAAGGTGGAACTGTTCTGCCTATTTCTTTTTTTCAGCCTTCAGATATTTTCTTGCTTTTAGTTTCTTCCCACCACTGACATCTGGGAAGAGGAGAATTGCCCCCCTCACCTTGGGGGCTTCTCTGATTCTGCAATTCCTTCGGATTTCTTAATTAGCATGTTTCTGGCAGCCTGAGAAAGTCCCAAAGCCTTCAAAATCATCCTGATATTTTAGAACTCATTAGACACTGAAAATACTGACATATTTTAAACTCATGCCTCCCAGTTTGCTGTTAGCTTTACAGTGCCCACATATGACAGGCCAGTAATAAGGACTGTAGATAATAACTCAGTTGCAACCGAGATGGCTTTGAGAAAATTTTTTCTAAATTGCCTTCTTCACCGTGGGAAAGACATTAAGCTACTTTGGGGGACTGGGTAATAACTCACCAATTGGCCTGTACATTGTCAGGAGAAACTTTCAAGACAAGGCATACAAGATAGGAACAGTCTGTCTACTTCAAAAAAAGCCAGGGCTGTGTTTGCTAGCAGGTGAAGTGGGAACAGTTTCATGCCATGGAAAATGAGGCCCTGACGCTGCTGTGTTACTGGACTAAACTGTGCTGTTGATATACTAATAAAAAAAGGGAACATTGGCTGTGAGTACAAAGAGTGTGCTGACCTCATGAAGTGCAACTCAGCTTGGCTGGGAGAGCTTGAAGGAATGATTAACTGCAACAGGAATGTTTTATTAGACCTTTTCTAACATTATCTGAAAAGATTGGGTGGGGAGGCATGGGGATTTATATTTCTGGGAGGCACTCATCCTCAGCAAGCATGGGCTCAGTCTCAGTGTTTGGTAGGTTTTGTGCTTTTTTTCTCTCATGTCCCACATTTTCTATGAAATTTTGGCTAGTGGTATAATTTATTGTGCTTAGCACAACACTTTTTTTCTCTAAGAAAAGGATGAAAATTATCAGTTATTAATTATTTCAGTGCTCAGGGCTATAGAACATCTATATCTGATTATTGGTATTCAAAACACAGGGCAAAACTAAAGAGGCACCAAAAGTAATAGTTCAGAATAATTAAGGATAATGCTGGCACTAACAAAAAAGTAGTAACTAGTGGATTAAAGATACTTTCCTGAGCTGTTTTCATGGGGTTCAGCTCCCAAAATATTGCTATTCTATTTGGAACTATAGAATAATTTGTAAAATGACCTCAGGGCATTTACACTGTGGAGAAAATCATTGCCAGTGGACAGAGGTTTTGGGAAGAGGCTGGACACAGACACCCTCCCAGATGCAGGGGTTTGAATTGCTCCATCGTTCTCTTATTGGTTTTTAGTCACCAACATGTGGTAATGCAATTATCATATTACAGACAGCCTCAGGCAACTGAACTTTGCTTTCTGGTGGTTGAGCTGCAATCCCTGTCCCACTGGCAATGTCAGCCTGTCAGGCTGCCTTGTGTCATGCCAATTACAGATAAACCAAGTTACAATAATGTTACACCCCTGAAAGTAATAACCAAGATCACCAAAGCAAATGTCTTTCAAGACTGACATGCAGAAAGATCACTTAAAGCTGATGATCCAAGTTTCAGTTTTAAAAGCAAGGGCTGAGGACTGCAAGCATTAGCATTTCCCTGGAGCTAGCCATATGTCTCACTTCAGGCCTGCATAGGTTGGGGGCTGACAAGACTCACACCTCAGACACAAAATCCTGGAAAGAATACAGAAGAGGATATGTAAATATAATCCTAATTTATGTTAAAATTAGAGAGTTCTAGATCAGCCCAGACATTTTTTTGAGGACATGTTGTTTCCCATAAATAGGAGACTGGAATATAAGAGATTCAAAATCAGTGCCAACTGCTCGGAAGTATCCACTGTAAAGGACTCCCAATGAAAAATGTTTAAACTCAGAGCAGGAGAAAGAACGCAGTCAAAACTCTAACAAGTGGAAGTTCAACAACGTTTGAAAATACTGTGTAAAACCCAGCTTTGTATCTGTCTTTTCTTTCATGTATCTTCAGTTACAACAAGTAGGGGAGGGTTTTGTAGTGAACCTCTGCCTGTGTGCCATGTCCCCATCTACTTCACTTTTCCACTCTACTTATATCTCCTACAAGAAAATTGCTAGACATAGAAGTAAAAGGAAATGGAAATTAAGAGTGAGACATATACCTCAACAACACAGCTCTATAAAAGGGAATTAGTCAGCAGCATTGGAAATAAATCAGAAAAAAACAAATCCAGGATTTACTGCCCTTGTCAGCTATTTTAGATGAATCTGATCCAAAACCAAATGTGATCTCTTGTGTCTGGAAGAAAAAGTGGTACTTAGTCACGTAGTTAGTACAGTAATGCTTCAGACTGGGGTGGTAGTGTGCCTCAACTACCTCCTCTCTTTGTGATCAGCCCCATGCTGGGCCTGCGTGTACTAGAGAAACACATTATCCTCAATTATTTGTTTTTCAAGGGCAGTTCTGCAGGATTGACCCTGCAATGGAGAGGCAGCCATGTGGCTCTGCAGGCGCTGTCCTCCCTGAACACGAGGCCCTTATGAATCCCTTAGGGACCATTTTCTGTGGCCTTGAAAATCATGAGTGAACCACATCTTTGGCAATTACTGTTGGGGGCATCTGCATTTTGGTGCTCACTGACACATCATCCAGGTGAGTCACCTGAACTGAGCAGTCAGCAGGCACATGGTCAGCCTTTGTGCCACGCTGCAGGATAGTGATATTTCCATTTAAATGCCAGTCAGGAGAGCAGTGTACTGAGCAGAGTATAGGACACAAGTCAATCTAGTTCAGTTCAATATTCTTATTTGAGAGTTACTGTGGGCTAGGCAGAGAGCAAAATAGCCTGCAGCTTTCAGTGCTGTTCTCTTCCTAAATGATCCTGAATGACTTTATTGATGTAAGCCATTCCCTCCATTTAGTGTGAGGTCTGAATTGCTTATGAACCCAGATGAGGTGTCATGGTATGCATTCAACAATATCATGACATTTTGCAACTGCGTATGATTTGTGAAGACAAACTACTTGAACTAATCAATGTGAGCCCCTGCAGCTGCAAGCTGAGGTCTAGCTGGTTCTTCCTCTGTCCTTACCTGCATATCAAAGCCCCATTTCTAATTTAATGTAGTGTAGATTAAATTAAACAATACATCCATGCATCCATTTTAGGGATCAAGAAGCCCTTCAAGATGAATCAGCAAGGCAAGTTCATGAGCAAGAACCTGCCAGGTAAAGTTGGAGGATTTGTAACCTGGGAAAACCCAAGTGACTGACAGGGATGTTGCACACTGGGTCTCCCAAACAGGTGATATGTATAGAGATGGTCACCTTTGGAAAGGAATTGAGCACCAGAGCTTGCCCTTGGCATCAAACATTACCTCCTGCAAATTTCATCCTTCTCTTTTGACTGGTCATCAAGGGCTTTTATTCCCCTTTAAAACACCTCTACTCTCAGAGACTTAGTTGGAAACTGAAACACAGGCAGTTTGATTGCCCCTGAAAAGAACAGCAGAAACATCCAACTGTGCCTGCTGCCAGATCAACAGGGTAAAAGGGGATTTTTCAAGGTCAGAGACAGTTCATTGGTATTTTCTGGCTCTTCTGGTTCAACTGAAGGGAAAACAGGATCAGGAAAGGATCCAGGCAAAAGGGCAAAGGAATTGTGTGTGGGTAGAAAAACTTGCATCTGGTTTATTGCTTCTGATCCTGGATTCGGTGGCTTGTTGTATGTGAAAGTACCGTTTTCCAAATATGCTTTGTCAGGAAAAGGCTTTTACAGGAAGCTGGGAGAAAAAAGCCTTGCAGTGAGCAGGATGCAGACTCCAGCCCAAAGATGGTCACAGAGTCCCTCAGGTGCACGTGTACAAACGTCCTTCTCTGAGCAGGGAGAGCCTGTGATGTGCAGCTGCCGGCGCTCCCTGCCTCCAGCCCTGCACATCCCAGCACTGTTAACCACTGTTTTGGAACAGTTGCTTAGATACCACAAGAGCCTGGCTTCAACTTCAGGCCAGTTAATTTGACATTAAAACTTGACAATACCAAACGTATTCCAGGGTTGGGACACACTTACAGATGGAAACCACAACATTGGTAGACATCAGTACTAAATCTCACTGGAATGAACAAACCTCCTGTCAGAGGTCTGGTTGAGTTGCCCCTTTCTTCTCCTCAGGCTCTCAAGGATCATGGCAACGAGACCCACATGTGAAATTTCACGTGCCCTTGGCTTGCTGGAGCTGAGTGTCAGCTCAGCCCATCCTGGCAGGGGCAGCTTTACATTTTCCAGCCCTTTTAGTGACGAGGCCCTACGATTTAAAGTTCATGGCTGCCGTGACCTTTATGTCACCCATAGAGCTTGCATATTCTTTCAGAAGCCACCTGATCTGAAAACCTTCTGGCTGATCATTTATTTCTGCAAGAGCTTACGTTAATGAAGACACCACTTTAGACAAACACCACTTTAAGAGGTTATGACTTAATTACCTATGGGAAAAAAACCCCAACTTACAAAAACACGATTGCATGAGTAACCCTCCCTGCCACGCTCTCTTCCATCCCATTTGGAGTCCTCTTCTCTCCAAGCTGTCAAGGTCCCTTGAATCTGCAGGTAGTGACCCTCTTGGCATCAAGCAGTAAAAATGGCTGAAAGACCAATAATTAAACATTTCTCATACTTCTGTAGATTTTAGGGGTTGGTTGGTTGGGGTTTTTTATTACTTTGGTGCGTTTTTTTGTTTTCTTTTGTTTGGTTTCTTTTGCTGACAAATTATCACCAATAATACAGACAATCACAGACCCAAATTATTCTGGATGAAAGAGCATTTATTTCCCATAGTTCTTTCTCTTGCATCCAGAAACACATATTCTTGTTTAGGAGCTAATGGGACCTGGTTATTGCTCTGTTATGAAGTGCTTTTGTGACTGATATCTCAAAAATTCTTTTGTGATTTTTCCCTCATTACTAATACCTTGATGGCTGTGTATGACTTGGTACAGCAGTATTTCCTGCTGTACCTCGTGACTTAGTGACTGTCTGGGGAAAACACATCTGAGATTTGTAGATTCCTCTCAGAGCAGCCACACAGTTCTGGGCTATTCCTCCTATTAACTGGTTTCATCCATGATTTGGTACAGTCAGAAACAGAGATTTGAGTAGATTTCACCTTCTGATAGAACATTCATTAAACAGAAGTTTATTAGATCAAGTCTTTTAGTTTTTAATCAAATATTATTCCCAAAAAAGAACAATGGAAAGGAGTCTTAGATTAGTGAGAATCAGAACACTCTCCCATTGTTGTTAATATATCTCCCTTCATTTGGAAAGTCTCTAACTAATTGCAAGAGCTGAATAATATGACCCTTATTCCCCTTGGCAATAATTTTAAAAAGTGCAACATGCCACTCAGAACAAATAACCTAAGAAGAGTGCTGTAGATAAACATTTTAATAAGCTTTATCAGATGATGAAAAACATAATGTTTTCCTCTGCAGCCATGGGGGAAACCATGAATCTTGATCTTGACAGTGGTTCTTCAAGAGAATAAAGCAAAAACTGAGAAAGGATAGGGATTTCAGTAGCAGTTTTCACTATCAAAAACCAGAACTGCTCTCTATTTGGTCTGTACAAAATTTTTTTCTCTACGGATATTTCTCATACTCTTCCTTGTAATATCTAATTGCATGAGAAATTGTTTTGAGTCGTATTGACAGATTGAAACGACAACTGCATCACAAGTGTATTTATTTTTGCTACCATAAGCTCCAGAAGAAAATAACTTTTAATGAAATCTTGTCCAAAAAGATCTCCTAAAAACAATTGCATAAACAAACAAACAAAAAAAACCTTAGCTATTTAAACAGAAAGGTACTTTGTCAGTTAGGCATATTCAGTTTTCTTAATCAAAGGTATGAATTATTGAAAGAAAGATCTTAAAATGTAATTGAGAGTATTTATCACTTTTCCTATCTAGGCAAAAGGAAGGTCACTAAATGAATTGGAATAAGGGTGGGTTGGATCTCAGGAGGCTGCCTTATGATTCTTCGCATTTTTGGGGTTTCAGTGGATCTAAGGAGGTGTTTTGTCCCCACTGAAAATCCTTTCCCTTTGTGTTTATATTTGCCCAGTTTTACTGCCAGCTAATTTTTCAAGCTGCCTCCTGTGCCATTGTGAAGTATTGCAGTTTATGAATTCTGGAAAAACCGTCACAAGAGAAATTAGGTAAAGCAAATTCATAGTTGTTAGGGTTAATTAACATTACATAAATTAAAAAGAAGCAAATATCCTTCTAGGTGATATATGGAAATGAAAATTATATTTTATCATAGAATCATAGAATTATAGAATGGTTTGTGTTGGAAGGGACCTTAAAGATTATCCAATTCCAACCTCCCTGCTGCATACAGGGACCCCTTCCACTAGACCACGTTGCTCAGAATCCCATCCAGTCTGGCCTTGAATACTTCCAGGAATGGGACATCCACAAATGCTCTGGCAAACCCATTCCAGTGTGTCACTGCCCCCTGAGTTAAGAATTCATTCCTCACATCTGATCTAAACCTGCACTCATTCCGTTTAAAACCATCACCCCTTATCCTGTCACTATTGGTCCATATAAAAAGTGCATCTCCCTCCTTTTCATAAGCCCCCTTTATGTGGTGGAAGGTGCTGTAAGCTCTCCCTTCTCTAAACTCAACTACTCCAACTCTCTCAGGTGTGAGGTGCCCACCTCACACAGGATGTGTCTCTTAACCTGTTTTCATAAGAAAAAGTGTAAAGTAGTCATTGTAAAAAGGAGGCAAATCATTTCAAATGGACAGCAGATTTCTCTGCTGCCAATTTCCAAGTGGAATAAAGCCAGGCAATGTTGACAGTCCTGTGGGGAAGGGAAGGGAAGGGAAGGGAAGGGAAGGGAAGGGAAGGGAAGGGAAGGGAAGGGAAGGG